GGCAATGCGTAGGCAGGCCTATTGGTTGAAGAGATTTTATGTAGACTAGTTTGTTAACCAAAGACCGGCTGTAAGTTCGGAATATACCTAAATCAGCTATATCCAATATATTTCGGTGAATTCAGCTGCTAGACCTAGTCAGTTGGTCCTCGGTGCACACGAGATGCCATCACCATCAGAACCAAAGTTGTGGAGATTCAGAGGAGGGTCAGAAGGAGTTGGGAAGTCATGTGGGTGACGAGGTATGATATCATACCGAGAAATACGGGTGAAAGGCCGTGGTGTGGTTGTGACGTTAATCTGCCCCCAAATGTTGTTGTGGAACTTTTGATGATATCTAACTTGTGTCTAGTTTTCTCACCGTTGCAGGTGGACGACAGGTGAGCAGCCACAGCACTTAAGAAGTCACGTTGCGGGCTTAGATAAAAAGTCGTAGCTTGGTTGCTGTAAGGTTTCTAAAGGTAACGTCAGTGTGTCTGAGCAATGGTGGGCCACTGAAGAGGCTACGGAGGCTGCTTTTATAGTTACGACTAGTTGGTGGTTTGTCGAGTGGGTCTGAGCCGGTTGGTCTTTTTTCCAGTCCAGTTAGCTTTCGCTTCACGCCTGGACGCGGTTCAAAAATTTACACAACTGGTCATGACGTTTTCAGTTCCCAGATTGTTTTATCTGGTGGGTATCCGCCCCAGGAGATTTTGTGTTGATAAAAGAATGCTGAGATGCCGCGGGGCCTTGTGGATTTGCTCGAGAAACAGTTTGTCGATTATGCGATTTCCTCGGAGAATAGTCACTATCTACGTTTTCAAAGAAAAACCACCAACTAGCTGAGAGTAAGTCTTTAAGTGCCGAAGTTTTATTAAGGGGTTCGTGGATTAAAAAAGAGCTCGAATCAACTGCTGGATTACTACCCTTGGTGACATGATCGAACGTTGAAGTAAGATCTAGAATAGCAATATATGGTTGAATGGGGAGAGAATAAGTGGTTTTGATGCTACATATTATGGTAAGCATCAGATTTTAAGCAGAAACAGGAATAGAAATACGCCTTAACAATCATGAACAGATTTCTGTTAGCTGAAATGCAATATCTAAGCTCTAAGTGCAATGAAGTGCTAACTGGCACTAATCACAGGTCACAAATACGAGTGCAGGCACTTAGAAAAAACAGGATGCCTCGCAAAAGAGCAACGTCAGTTTGGCCACGCCGCCCTCTAATCATCTCGAGTTTCGCTCAACCTCACAAGTTGTTTGCCTTCTTGGATAAATATCAAATGCAAACAGTTCTTGAGCATGAAATCGCCATAGGAGCTATTCCTTTCAAAGACATCTGAGACGTTTGGATTTAGGCTTTGTGATTGCAGATAATTTCTTATAGCCTAAATCCCCATATCCAGAAAGCTGCACTGAAAGTCACTGGTTAGTGATAACTTTCGCTGCAACAACGAGCTCCTGTCCTTATGAGGAGAACAACAGTATCACTTCACAACTACAATCCACAAGGATCTACTGAGGGTCTGTAACCGGAGTACCATAGCGATACTTCAATGAACAGTCATCGAAATGCTACAGTTTATGACTTCAAAATGCCCTTAAAAGCAGGTTGGAGACAGAATCGACGCCCTTTAATGACAGTTTTCTGCCACCACTCCACATCCTCGACCAAGATAGCAAGGTGATCCTGACTGCCTTTAGTCGTGTACATAATCAGTACCGGTGGGTATCACCGCTGAGCCTCATTCGGTTCTGCCTAACGTGTCACTAATATAATCAAAATCACCGTGCCACTGAAGGGACGCTACAGTCTGATCGACCTGTTAATTAGATTTGCGTACTTAGAGGTTAGCTGCTAGTTGATAAGTCTGCCCGTCGTTCTGTATATAGTTATCAGCTGGCGGTTCGAAATTACTTTGGAGGGAACATGTTTTTACTCAGGAGGTGCATGGTAATAACACTAGTCATTGCCATCGAATACATTTTTGAATAGCATGAAAGAGCCAGTTGCATTCACGCAAATCAAAATGCTGTCCTTGCAGATTTTAGTAAGGTGCCTAGATCTCATAACGAAGTGGGATAGTTTCTTTGGACATTAGCATAAAAAACTAGACTAAATACACTCATCTCCAATCTACGGGCAAAACTACGGTGTTTACCACCGAAAAACAGCAGCCAACCATATCGTAACAGTCAGCGCAATTCAGTTGATCAACTGGACGCGAAAACTTGTACTTAAAACGACGCAACTATCTTCTCACCTCGGGAATACTTCCTGCTGGTGATTCGTAGTCATCTGGACCTTTCAACCACTATAGCTTTTGGCTCCTTCGCCACTCGCCATATTTCTAGCACTTTTTAAGTAACACTTAACACCTGCTTTCAGGAGACCATAACTAACAACGGTTAGTTGATCTTATCAGCAGCTCTGTTACCCCACCCCCGGAAGAAACCAAGCTACAACTTGCAAATAAAATGCCTTCAAACAGACAATCACTATCTGTAAGCTATAAGCAGGAAAACGTAAAAAATTCCGTGACCCAGCAAAAGGAACCTAGCCTCAAGACCTAGCAGTGAAAGCTAAAAAACTACAATTTTCCTCTACTCGCACTATCTGAGCTCACACTTCCAAGCCCAACTCAGCACTGACACAAGATCCACACCGACTCGCCACGACACCGACCAGGTCGCAAATAACGAATACCTCTGTCACGTCTCTATTACAGAGAAAAAGGTGTTCGAGAAGCTATCTAGGCTACGTCCGGGCAAGTCCCCTGGCTGCGATAATCTGAAACCAGTGGTTCTGAAAAACTGCGCCGAGGTGCTTACCAAACCACTTCGCAACCTCTTTGAGCACTCAATAGACTCGTGCAAACTCCCTAAAGAATGGAAGAGTGCCATCTTGTCACCCATCTTCAAGGGAGGAGACAGAAAAAACCCTGGCAGCTACAGGCCGATTGCCCTACTCCCTATTGTGTCGAAAGTGTTGGAAAGCCTGGTAGCTGACACCATCTGGGAATTCCTCAATAGAGAAAACACTGTCCACACTGCTCAGCACGGCTTTCGTAGTGGTCGCTCATGTGCCACCAACTTACTAACTGCCTGGGACGACTGGACACAAAGCTGGGATAATAGAAAACCTGTACATGCTGTATTTCTCGACCTAGCCAAAGCATTTGACAGTGTCCCACCCACAGTACTGCTTCACAAGATCATGTCAGCTGGTATAAGTGGACCCCTACTCTCTTGGTTCAAGGAGTACCTGGAAGGGAGGCAGTTCTGCACTAAAGTGAACAGAATAAGGTCGGAGTGGAGACCGTCGACGTCAGGAGTATCCCAAGGAGCAATCCTAGGACCGCTTCTGTTCCTCCTCTTTGTCAACGATCTGCCAGACAAAATATCCTCACCCATCCTCCTCTTCGCTGACGACATAAAAATTTGGAGGGTGGTAAACGAAGAAGCCGACTGTGCAGCACTACAAAAGGACTTGCAGCAACTCGAGCTCTGGTCGTCGGAAAATGGTCTGAGCTTCAACTGGAAAAGTGCAAAGTAATGCACATCAGTAAAAATGAGGCAAGTACGACCGACTTCCAGTACATGTTGAGCAACCGTGCTATCACCAGAGTGTCCATGGAGAAAGATTTGGGGCTCAACTTCTCCGACACCTTGGACACCAGCTCCAACTACAAAGGTATGACAACCAGAGCGAACGCCATTCTACACTTTCTGCGTAGACAGCTTGGCGCCCTCACTCCCGAACTCTTCCTCACCATTTTCAAATCCTACGTGCGGCCGCACCTAGAGGTCTTCAATACGGTGGCTCCTCCAACACTCAAGAGAGACTCTAATCTCCTTGAAAGAATACAAAGAACTGCAACAAAATCAGTTGTGGGGCTAAGGGGAAAGACGTATCCTGAAAGACTTAAACACCTCAACCTATTTACCTTGGGTTATCGCAGGAAAAGGGGTGACCTCATTATGGCATACAAGATCGCCCATCAGGCAGACCATGCAAACAAATCAATTTTGCCTGCAACTGAACGATCTTCACGAGGAAACCCCTTTAAGATAGCACACCAGAGAGCCAACACCACACTCAGGTCCAAATTTTTCTCCCTGAGAGTATGTGCTTTATGGAATGCCTTACCGCGACACATCGTTATAGCTCCTTCAATCGACTCTTTCAAGAGGCGATTAGACAGTTATGTCACCTCGCATGGACTACCACGGACGTACTCAGGTAGTCACCAACCTCAGTACCCCCAACTCCCTCCTAACTACCACTCACTATCTCTCTCCTTAATACACCCACATTACCTACTAATTCTTCTGTAGGAACCAAACCCACGCGACCATTCGGGCAATTCCCAAATACTTTTCTTTCGTTCTCATTTCTCTCTTCACCCCTTCTTTTATTCTCCTTCCCTTTCCTCTTCCCTACATTATTATTACTATTATTTTTATTTTTAATTTTATTTATTTTTTTATTTTTTATTTTTATTTATTTTTATTATTTTATTTATTTATTTATTTATTTATTTTACTCTTCCTTATTTCTCTCTTCATTCCTTTACCACTACCTTAATATTCTCTTTCAGGTACCTACACAGACAGGAGTCACGGTTGTTCTCTAAACTTCCCAGCAGCCCGTAGCTCCCTAATCACTCTACAAATTACAACCTACTAACCCACAAAACATCCACCTCACCGAAGCTAAAAGCAAGAAAGCAGAGGGGATTTCCTCGTCCACTGCAGGAGTGAACCGAACAACTGGAACCAAGCCCTAAGAACTAGACGCGAGAGATCAAAAACTACTAGTTTTCTACGCTCGCACTATCAATATTGGATATTGGATTGATGGTGGATTGACTAGTAGCCATTCCTTTGCAACCGTATGACACTTCTAAAGACGGATCCATGTGTTTTTAGTGAAATTAAATCGAGTTACTGCAGTTTACTTGGTTTGCTTTCCTTTCTCTTTGAAAGTGGTTTTTTGTTTTAAATTTGTCACATGACAACAGGAGTAAACGTCTTTTTAAAACGTACAGGATATTATTATGTGTCCAGCTGGAAGGAACCCCCTGCCACCGATAGTTTATGAAAATGATGAGAGCTTTACACGATTTAAGAAAAAAGGGGTAGATTGCCCATTTTAGTTTACTGTTGTGTAGCACAAAGTGTTCAACGTTCCACCTCATTTGGCTCGCCTTGAAGACCCTTGGAACAAACTTTGCACGCGACATACTCTTTCTAGTTTAAGACACACAGTAAGACTTACGTGTTGAAATTATAATGATATTATAAGGCAGAATATTTCGATCCAGACGCTCCAAATGATGACCTTGATTTCAGGTTGAAATCTTACTACGATCAACACAGACACTGGTGGAAGACCAATGCTGAGGCATTATTACAGCTTGAAACACTAAACGAGACAAAGTATGTTGAACCTAGCTTATTTCAGATAGATGCTGTGACTTTTGCGTGGCTAATGTTTTTTGAAATCGTAAATTATAACTGACTAATAGTAGATATAACTATGTAGTCATATTTGAAATTAATCCCAGAAATTTTCTTTAGAAACGTTTAAAAAGTTGTAGCTTCCCCAGTTTATTCTTCATCACTCTAAATAAACCAACTAAGCACGTTGATATCAAGTCTTCCAGAATTAGGTTTACCCACGCTTTCTGGGCATACATAGTAACAGACTAGAAATTCCTCGTACTTGTTTGATGAGCGCTAACACCAAATCAAGAAAGCAGACAGTGAGGTAACCTGGGATTAATCGAATACTTGTATAATCATGCTGATAAACTAAGATACACTAGCTGATTGCTAGGGGATCATGAACTGGCAACTCAACGTAATACAATAAGGTGTCGCATGGCGAGTATATTCATCAGTATTCCTTCATTTTAACAAGCCGTTAGGCACTTTGATGGCCAGCATCAGTGGTTAATCTCGCTTGACTCTGGTCTGTTCATTTAAGGGCATAATTTTTCGCTACAATTTGCTTACTCAACACGAAAATCAATAACACATGACAATAAGGTTTAGAATTGGATCCTGAAGTCTTTTTTGTCCATCAGTGTATTTTAAGATGGTGAAAGAATAAGCACAAGGTAGATCAGGTTCGAAGTTATCAATTGAAAATTCGTATAACATGAGTTTTTTATCTCCAGTATAATTAAGAGGTCAGGTTGACATTAAAGTTTCGCATACAATGTGGCGTGAAATGTTATGTTAAAAGCTCTGCTAAAATGTCTGTATGTTGAGTCACTAGTTCATTCAAGCTAATTTTTACTTGATAAAATACATCCAATCACATCGTTGTTTTGACCTAAAGAGCATTTACAGTTCCAGTTGAGGAGTCAAAACTGGAATTCCTAAGTAGATTTTATGTTTCCAAGTTTTTAGTAAACGTAATGAAGAGCCGTTACGAACTGGTTGGTTTTTTGTACCTATTTCTTATTTTTGAAGAGTGGTGTTTTAGTCACAGACTGACATCAATGCACTTGGTTTCTGTCGTTCCTCTACCATAGATCTATCAAGCAATAAGATGTGAAATATTTACTTAACTGAGGAGAAAATGGATTACTTCCCTCAAAATACTAGAGCCACAGAAACTAGTAAGACTGAATAACGGAAATCCGAGAAGTCAAGTTAAACTGGTAATCATAATATGATATGTCAAAAATCGATGAATGCGCTTCCGATGCTCATTTATTCTATTTTGTTCAGAAGTTGGCTTAGCGGAATACATGTGCTAGGTTATATACAACACACGAATGTTAAGCAAAACGGATCTAATGGTTTGACGTCCACTATTTAGAACGCCTAAGTAGTAATGTTGTACAATTCAGCGTATAGGTCAATTTCATTTTTTCAACATTGATTATTAATAGTGTATATATGCACTGTTTCTATATCGTCCATAAGTTATTGAAATCATCCTTTGTACATTATTCACTGCATATGATACAAAATGGTTGGCGGTAGGAAGTAGTATATTTGAGTTTTATAGGCGTCATCAGTGAGCAAAACTGAGCTGAAGCTTACCTAAGGCTCTAGAACATACAGTTCTTTCAAGCTTTCAAAGATTTGTAATAAGCTGTTCCCACTGCAGAATTTATTTCGATAGTAACCGATTACATATTACTGGGCGTGATCTGTCAACCGGTGTGTTCTGGCTGTTAAGATAAGCGGTCTAGTTTGTGGTCTTCTAAACTCGATTTTAAACCTACTGTATCATATTTTCTAGTCGTTTCCCTTACTTTTTTAGTTGTATACTAGTTAGATGGTTCAAAAATGGAATCAATAATAGTTGAGAGAAATGCTCAATACCGATATCATTCACAAAAGTGAACATTATACTGCAAAATCAATGAAATAATTAGCTGATCATTCAGATTCAGATTTGTTGTTTGAGGATAGGAGGCCGGGAGCCTATAATAATTCTTTTCCAGCAGATTCTGTTCTTGTCCAGTCCCCTTTGGAACGAGTCAATTGATGATGCAGACACAATTTCTTTTAGGAGTCGATTCCAGGCGTTGATAAGACGACGCAAGAACCAGTACTCTGCGGAGACCATGTTCTTTCTTTGCTTTTGTAGTCTCCTATTATGTCCTCTTAGGTGTTTAGACCCAGTGAGAAGGAAAAGAGAAGATAGATCAGGTCCGAAGTCATTACACAGACTCTTGTATAGCATGATTAGGTCTCCCCTCTGTCTGCGATAGGACAAAGTGAAGAGGTTCAGCTACTTAAGTATGTGTTCATAGGTGAGGCCAGTCACCGCATGGATCATACGAGTGGCTGCCCTCTGAACTCTTTCTAAAAGGTCTGCGTTACTTTTCAGGCAAGGATTAACCATCTGTGTACAGTTTTCTAATTTGAACATGTGTGAGATGGTGAACATGTCACCACTTATTTTCGCAAACGTTCTACGTAATGCCCAGAGAGTCATAAGACTCCGAGCTGCTACCAATTGACAATGAGCCGTGGTTTTCAAGTCATAACTCACTGTGACTCCTGGGTCATTACGGGTCAGTACTAACGATAGAGGAGTCCTGTTAACATCGTAGGTGTTGCTGTGTGTATATGTGTGCCCAGGTGCATGCCTGAAGTGCACCTATATCCTCATCATTCCTAATTTCCCACTAGATTTTTACATCATCAGCGTAGAGAACCATAGGGGATTTCATGATATTTGGTGGCTCATTGACGTATAAGAGAAACAGCTGGGGGCCCAGGACTGTGCCTTGCGGTACTCCATTCTCTGCTGACTTCCAAGTGAAGGGTTGAGTATTGGTCCTGACTCTCTGTCTCCTACGAACAAGAAAGTCTCTTGTCCATGAGAGCAGACTGTCAATGATTCCAAAACTTTCCAGTTTACCGAGCAACCTGGAATGAGGTACTTTGTCGAACGCCTTACTAAAGTCAATGAAAATGATATCCACAGGTATCCTATCACCTCTAGACATAACCCAACTTTCTTTGACTGTAGGGAGGTTCATCAAGCAAGAGAAATTCCTGAGAAAAGCGTGATGTGAACGAGACAACAGAGCATTGCTCTCTAGGTGGACTGTGATGGCTTTCTTGATTATTCTTTCTAGGACTTTCACTACAGTACTAGTCAAACTCATCGGTCTGTGATTTGATGGGAGCTGCCTAGGACCTGCCTCATGGATAGGTGTTACTGTGGCGTCCTACCAGTCATAGGGGAGTGTACCTTTACTGGAGAGTCTGAATATATTAGTCAGTGGACCGACTACATAGAGTGCAAGCTCTCTGAGAAGCCTTGAGTGCAGCTCATCTGGTCCCGTTAATTTTTCCACGTCGAATCACCTTATATCCGAAATACATCATTGCGATCGATATCCACAAAGTCTATTCCGTTGAATATCAATGCTTCTGCTGTTGGTAAGTGTCCACAGAAGATTCCTATGTGAAGACCTCAGCAAAATATCCAGCCATGGCTTCTGCTTTTTCCCTATCGTCCCCAACCAAACAGTCAGTTTTGGTCCCTTTGATTAGGATGGGTATACTACGACACATCTCATTTCTATGGTTCATATAAGAAAATAACCTCTCGGATGTTGTAATGCAGCCTGGGCAAGACGTGTTTCAAAGCATATTCAAGACCAGTGGATAGCAGCGACACATTTATTGCGAGCTTCCTCGCAATGCTTCACCACTTCAGGTGTACCGGGTGGCAAGGCTCTAACACTTTCTCTTACGTCGTAGCAAGATTCAGATTCCGTGCTTTATCCACGGAGGACAGTGTCTCCATCCCCCCGGGACAGTTCACGGAAGGAACGGTTGGGTCACTGGTGCATATAATTGTTTGATGAAGCACCACGCACCTTCAACTGAGGCTTCTGGATTGACGGTCCAGTTTTCCAAAGAGGCTGCCAGGTTAATAGCTTCCGTAATCGCTTTCCATATGGGTGTAGCTGGGGCACCGGCCTGGTACAAGACGTCTGCTGTGAATCTGAGGATGATCACAGTGTGATCACTTTTACCAAGGGGTGATCGGTGCCAGATGAAGCACACCTCATCTGTATGTGAGAATAATGAGTCTAAAACTGATGGAGCATGCTGCCGATCATATCTGGTTGGTGTCCTAATATGTTGTATGAAGGCTAAAGAAACTGATGTTTCCACTAATTCGTGATCAGACGAACTACGTGTGCTTTTGTCGTTAGTCTATCCCAGTCAACTGATGGTACGTTGAAGTCTCCTACAACCAGAGGGTCAGCTTATTCGGGAGGAAGTTTACTGCCTCACATTCAGGGATTCAAGATATATTACGATTATGCTAACATCCCCTTGCATTTTAGTCGCAGTGCAGTATTTCACATGTCCCACGTTCATATGCAACTACTGATATCAATTTTACGTAAAGGATGACACTACCCCCATGTTTGCATGCTAACCTATCACTTTTAAAAGGGACGAATCCCGTGTGTTTCACAGTCACTAATCCAGAAAGAGAGCCAAGTTTCTAAGATCGCAATGATGTCAGGATTTTCGTTGCTTATCACATTACTAAGCTCAGTCTACTTGTTCAAAAGATTACGTGCGTTAGTGTACAAGACAACGAAACTACTTAGAGGAGTTCCCGTCCTATCCATAGAGACTTCGGCATCGTTTGCTGCTGAAACCTCAATACACGAAAACCCATGACTTTCCGATCTTACTCTCCAGCTGCTGATCTGGATTTTAGTTCTGCTTCTGCTTCTCGTTTTTTGATTCTATCAGCAAGAGCCAGATCCTTTGCACTAACACTCCAGATCCTTGAAGTCTGTGGGCATTATTCAGAATCTGATTGCTCTCATCTGCTGACTTGAACACGACTTTAAGTAGCCAAAACTTATTTTCGGTAATGACTGTTTCTGTTTCCTACTTTATGTATCTTGAGTAGGGTGACTGCTGGCATG